TTTTTTTTTTTTTTTTTTTTTTTTTTTTTTAAATAAAGCATTGTTTGTTGGTATGGGCGAATGCCTCCTGCAGCCCCACAGCAACACCACCCTACAGTCGCGCAGGCTTTCCTCCGCGCATTACAGAAGACGCCACTTATTCAGGGATGAAACACAGACGTTACTTAGTTTAAATACCGGTTTGCTCACGTGAGATAGCTAAATGGCTCTTTTGGGTTTCAATAAATATAAAAATTTGACTGTTTTTTTCTTTGTTGGCCTACACTGCAACCAAATTACACATGCAGCCGTAAGGCACGTCTTTACTCCGTCTTGCTCCAACCTTTTAACGCTGACAATTTGATTATTTTCATTAGCATTTTAGTAACATTTCAAATTTTCCAATACTTAAAAAAGGTCTGGCACAGTAGCGCTCAGCGTATGGGGAGCATCCTAATAACATCACCAACAGGGAATATCAACACTGACAGCTCGAGCGGTCTTGGCAAATACAGGCGAGCCGAATGGGATGTAGCAGGTGAAAAAACACATTCTTCCTCGTTACACACAAAACTGGGAACATGAAATTCATTCTCAGGTACTTCTGTAAAATGCCGGTAAAACGTAAAATAATTGGTAATATGCGTAAACTTGTGCATAATTCGCAAGATACCACAACGTCGTGGGCAATGCAAAAAATGGCCCAGTCAGCTTGCTAATGTAGCTATTTGTTGTTCTGTCAGAAGGCACTAAAAAGCGTAAAAAGAAAAATGCAACAAGTGAGCTACAGAGCGTGTAAGTAGCCAAAACCAAGCAAAACTGTGCCTAAAAACGAGGAATTTAGCAAAAAACCTGGGAAAATTAGGAAGAAAGTGCTAAATTTTTGTATTACAAAGCAGAATGTGAAAGCCCAAGAATACCCAGATCAGTGTGGGATTCCTTTGTTAGTGATGTTACTCGGAAACTTCAAAATGAAAGTTACGGTTCGATAGCGACAAATCTAGTGCCAAAAAGCCATGTGTCGTATCTAAACAAATGATCAGCAAAGTGCTGGGAAGGCGCCAAAAATGAAGGATAAACGAGGGATGCTTATCAATTTTTATGGAACCAAATAAAGCCATTCGCATATTTTCATAAGGTGAACCTCATTTAACCAAAGAGCACAGACAACATGAGCCCAGTTATTGTCAACCGTTTGCTTGAAAGCGCCATGCGAACTTGGACAGAGGACACAGGAAACTGGCGTCGACGGCGACATCTGGCAACGGCGGCACAGCCACTGGCCCTCCGGAACATACGGAACACCATAACAATCCTGAAGTACTGTTATAACAGAAACAAGAAGCATCACTGCAATTTGAAGAATCTTGAAACAAACGAGATGATTTTCTATTAAAAAATTTCCTAACCAATTCGAAATCAACTATCTTTCCTATCGTAATTCACTAGCAAATCCCACCTCGCCCGTAAAACTTAAGGAATTCAGCCGCTACGAATTTTTATGCGTTTTGTGCTGTGTAACATCAGTACAAAACGCATATTGTTACGGGGTTGTCTGTGTG